CAAACCTGAAAGTACAACTGAAAGTTAACATCCGTGACACAATAGTTCCAGCACTAATTCAAGTGCAAGCTTAGATACACAGCAAGCAACTTTGCTCAAGAAGCTTTTTCACCTCTGCAGTGCATGTAGGCAGGCATATTCCCCATCCTCTCTGCAGGGGTATATAAGCAGCAAGCACTGATTTCAATTAAAGATGAAGTGTTTACACTTGTTTTCCTTGCCAGGAGCCCTTTTTTTCCTCTTCACAAGTTCTTCTAAAAAGCACTTATTTTATTTTTCTTTTACATATATTATAAACCTTCTCAGCTGGGGAGAAGGAGAAACTTCTGGGGTGAAGGGGAAACTTCACTCCTTCCCTGATTGCAGGGAACTTCTGCTTACCACAGTTTTTATTCCCTATGCTATCCACTGCCTAAATCCATAAAGCCTTTTCTGTCACCTCCGCCCACTTCATTTGTATTTTCCCCTAGGCAGTGGAAGTGATAGAGTGAATTTTTTTTTTTTCATTTTTTTCCTTTTAAGCAGAGCCCAGTTATTAACAAATATTTCACTGCTCAGCTGGACCTCCTAATAAGCTAGTTACTGCTTAGAGCCAGGCTAAATCAGGAGAGGAGTCACGATGTCCAGCAAAGAACCAACACAAGAATGAAAAATAGGCTAAAAAGTGAGGCTGAAGCTAGGTACTATGGTCAGAAAAGCAGATACACCAACAGAGCGTGCCTGAAGGAGGGCAAGTGCCTAATCACAAACTCACCTAATCACTACAGATCAGGACAAAGATTTGGCATTAACAAGCTTGGTACTATTCATTTACAATTTTGTAGTAGAAAAAAAATCTCTATTTTTTTAAAACAAACGCAAAGAAGTTTGGCTGGTTTGTAACCACAGACAGTTGTTTAACATGCAGTCCAACACCTTTTAACATAGTATGGCCTTGAATTTTAAATGTGTTGGTTTGCAGCTGCTACATTTGTTCTGATACTGCTTTAGTTGAAGTGCTGAAGCTAAAACATTTGAGTTTCTTCTCTGTAGCCTCAATAGCAGCACAGACACACCTCACCTTAAGGAGATTAACATCCTTACTCTGGGAACAAGCAAGCTCAAAAAGTCAGAGCTTAAGGAAAAAGCACCCAGACAGGGGGTGCGAGGGGAACTGAGAGTGAGCCAAGCCAGCAAATAAAAACACATCGGGTGGAGGAAATGCGTGCAGCCACCAGGACGAGGATGAAGCACACAAGGGCTGGAGTGGAATCAGCCAGAGACAGATAATACATACCTGGTATTTCCAATCATTCTGTAAAATGCCCAAACTTTTATTTGTTCCAAAAAATGACAGGTCTCGCATTGTGACACTAATACATAAGTATTAGTGAATTGTGAAGACACTATTCACATAGCAGGAATAAGAAATAGGTTGTGAAAGACCATGCATGCAGACCCATAGTACCAGTATGCTATTGTAGTTTTTTAATATCTATGACAAATAGATCTAAAGCATTTTGTAGTGATTCACGTAATACCTTTGAGATCTGTGCAAAGGGGCATGAAATGCTGTGATTTCTCTGGCACACACGCACTAGAAAGCCTTGTTCTGTGGGAAATGCATCTCATCCAAAATAAGATTTCTTAGATTTTCTTCTAAATTGTGTAATCTTAAATTTCATCTGGTCCAGTACCTTTTCCAACATCTTTCATGTGTTCTCAAAAAAGAACTCCTAAAACCACTGAATATTTCAGATATTCATTGGATGAATTTTATTAGGCCCTGATACTTTGAAATATTAGGTTTATTTAAGTGTGATATAGCTTTCTCTTTTTTTTTTTTTTTTTTAATTCTAAACAGTTCTTAGCTATATTTTTCTGGTGCTAACTGTGTTACTATGTGATTTCAGCTAAGTTTTTTAATGAAGTAGTACACAAAACATCGTCAGTGAGTCCCTTCCTTTGGCATTTTCTGCTACTAGTTTTCCCTCTGGCTCAAATAATATAGTCCCCAAATACAATATTTCTCATTCCCAGTCAATCATAACAGTTGTAATTTTTGTAGTGTATAGTATTTAGAGAAATCATTCTGAAGTCAAAGAGAGTTTGAATGTACATTAGTATTACCTAGTCAAGGGAGTGACTACATAAATCAGATTTTACTGTCTTGTATCTATAAACAAAAAGTGGTAAAAGAAAATTTATTATCATTTTTCCTCCGTTTCTTTATTCGTGGGTAAAAGCATATGGAGCTCAGTGTGATATACTTCTTATACAGCTTTAGAGCAATGAAGAAACTTTAAGTTTACCATGTGTTTGTTGCTTTTTTGCTTTACCACCTGCTAATCTGGATAGCAAACCATCATCCCTGCTCTGGTCTGGTTGCTGTCTCCAGGGTGCCTCCATAGCAGCTAAGCCATCTCAGACTTTCTATTCAGAAGAGGTGGAGAGCAATTGTGGAGATTTGTATATCAACTCTGCCTTTTTTCAGTAGAAGCCACCAAAATATTTCTGCTGCTTGAAGCATAAGTCAAGGGTAGCCATTTGGCTACAGGCGAAGGGTTAAATGAAGGAGGAACAACGAAGCTCATTAAAATGAGAAAAAATGAATACTGTAACCCCCACTATTTCCTAGGCATTACCATCACTAGGAAATTACCCTCTGACTGGTTTTAAAGAGATGGTGAAAATAAAGAGCTAGACACAGAGATTTTTCTTATGAAGAAAGGACAGTGATGTTTTTTCCCTTCTCTTGCTAGTTGTTGTGGGCAAGCCATAGCTAGCCAGAAATAATGCTTTCAGAAGCAATTCTCAATTGTGAATGCATCAGTTTTGGGTTGTACCATGTCAGGCTTCTCACATTTCACTAAAAACCCTCCCCCCAAACCAGACATTTCTATGTGCTACAGTCAGTTAATCTCTTAAATCACTGCGATTTATTGTAAGAACTACTGTATCCTTTAGACAGTGAATCCTGCTGGACTACATAGTTTTATAGGAAGGGTCACTCCTTCCCCATCCTAAGGGAGATAAACATATTAATGAAATGGGACCACCTTAGAACTGGCTGCATGCCTACAGGGCGTTACAGAGAGGGCCACCTATACTGGGAGCAGCACAGGAATGAGGCTGCCGATGAAAGCAGTTTTGTAAAGTAAAAAACAGAGCACTAAAGATGGCAGGAAAAAAGTTATGGGAATTATATGGGGCAGAAGACAAAGTTGCCCAAGACTCGGTGGAAAAATACAATTCACAGAGAATCCAAGAAAAAGAAATGTGTTGCTGAGAATGATATATGCACAAGTTGCTATTAACTTCTGTATTACGTCAAAATGGAAAAGAGTGTCCAGGTATCAGCACATGGCACACGACATATTTTTTGTTTCTTTCCTTACTCCCCCACCTTTTCTTCCTCAAAAAACCCCACATGTATTCATGAATGTTTTGCAAAAGAGAAGCAGACAAGCATCACAAGATACATTTTTTTCTAATGATTGAATTCAAAAGCCTTTCAATATCCCAAATTAAATATGCACAATAAAAAAGCATTACCATTGATTAAACTGGAAAGACATGGAATAAATAACATCCATTAAAGGCCATTCAACACACAGATCTAGTACTTATGCATGAAAATCCAATTGACGCAATAGGCTATAACCATTCCAAAGAATCTTTTATAGCCCATCATGACAATGGTTACACATGACACAGCCATTATGGTCTGTAGGGCTCTGGATCAGCCAATTAAAATTTCTCTAGGTAGAACAGACTTTGAGCAAATAGGCTCAAAGGAGCTGTTACAATAAACTATTTTAAGACCTATCTTAGTAACTCCCAATTATACATTAACCCATTAACACAAGTTGAATTGCTAAATTTTGGAAAAATTTAGGTACCTACAGTACAGAAGCCAGCATTAAGAGTCAGTATTCTTGAATATGTACCATATAGATATCACTGTCCTTTACGGTTCCAAGTAAAAGAATAAGCTGTTTCAGATGTCAGTTGCAGATAACTCTTAGAGGGTAGATTTCCTTTTTTAGAATCATAGGATCATTTAGGTTGGAAAAGACCTTTAAGATCATTGAGTCCAACTGCTTACATATAAGCGCTATAGTAAGCATACAATGTTGAGAAGCTCATGTATTGTTTACATGAATTTCATTTTTATTTAAAGTCATCATATCTATAAATAGGTAAAAAATGCTATATAAATCTTGGAATAAATCAACTAAATGAAAGAAAAAGGTGCCTAATACAAAGTAACTAAAGAATAACAGAAATAATATGTCTGATATTGTATTTATAGTATAGTGGCCAGCTTAAGGGAGGGCAAGTCCACTTGGACTCAGTGGGAAAAGAGGCAGGCCCACAGCAAATGAGCAATAGCACTGAACCTATGATCTAAATCTGGTTCTTTTCTTCAGGCCTTGGGGGAATGAATGCCATACATTGTTCAAGGGCATAAACAGTGGCAGACAAGGGCTTAATTAAGACAGTTACAAGGATATGCTTCAAGATGCATCTCAAGTGTAATGTTCTTTCATGTGTGCTAGTTATGCTTCAAGTCTTATAGAAGCCTGATGAGAAACCTCTGGTTAGGGCCTGATTCAGGTGGTTTGCTTACAGCACCCAGCTGTGCAACAAAATGTCTATGGGGTAAGCGGTCCTAACGAAATAGTGGTCTTAGGGTATCTAATCCAAGTGTATAAAATCCCCATGCAATTAATGAAGAGTGAGGTAAATGCTTTCAGCAATTCAGGAAAAACAATTATAGTTATCGTGATGTATAGATGATGTAATCACTATATCAGGTACCTGTGCATAAAATTCTGCCTGTGTCCTTATTTGAATATCTCACTGTGACATCACTTTCCGATTAGAATGAAGTGCATTGCCACAGCACAGAGCTTGACCCAACAGTCAGAGCTCGTGCCTTTTTGGAGCTCAGTTGCTGTAGTGTGCAGAGAAGCTGAAAGGATCAATGAACTTTTTTCCAAGTATCTGACAGAGGGATGGATGAAAATGGGCATCCCTGTTCGATCTGGCCATGCTACTCAAACTGCTGTTACCTGACTTGCCACAGCAGAAAGAAAAAATGCTGCTTGTGTTGGCGCTTCTTGTTTACCAGTGAGCAGAACTGCAGCTGTTTCCCATGTCCGTATGAAGAAGACAAGCCTTGCCAGTGGTGCCACTGCTCATGTGCAGAGCACGCAAATTGCTGGTGGTGCTGCTGCTCTTGTTCAAATGACCCAAACTGCAAATGCTGCTGCTGCAGTGGAGATAATTCGGCATGTCAGTATTATGAAAGCAAGTGCTACAGAGGCTCTGTTGATGAACCACATCACTCAAGAACACCAGGAGCTGTTCAGTAAGTGGAGTTAAGGGCTCTTAAAATTTCTTGGGGTTTTGTTTTTCTAATTTACGTTACGTCTTAATGGATGTGTTGCATTTGGAAACATATGATCTGTTGGCATTTTGGAGCTATTTCAAATAACCACAGGATATCATTCTTCTGAGAAACAGAAAAAGTAGTTTTGTCTTGACATTCGTGAAATCTTATGCTCATTACTCTGACTGGGGCAAAGACTACTCCAGAACATCACTGCACTTGTAATTAGGACCACCTGATTTCCAGATAAAATCCATGAATGGCTAATACATGCTTATACATTCTCCAGTGTAAAAACCTATGTAGAGACAAGAAGGAAGACATACAGAGAACATTAAAACAAGGAGGAAAACAGAAATGTGTTTGTAGCAAGGAGGCTGCAGGCAAGGATACAGGGAAAACTGGAGTAACACAAAGAGCAGTAAAACTGCTGTTAACTGAAAGTGGAAGGAAGCAGTTATATTCAGAATAAGACAAAAAGGAGACAAATAATTGTAAAGGCTCAAGAAATGTGACACAGAGAATGGAAAGAAGGCATAGTAACACTCTTAGAAGATAAAACTGGAAACCAGAAGGAAAGGGGCTGATTATTAACTATGGAAATACTACACCAAAGAGCACTCACAAAAAGGTACAGGGCGGGGTGGGGGCACGGGGGGGCAGAAAGGGGAGGGCACAAATTAAGTTATCAGAAGAACTCCAGACTAGAATAGTACCAATCTGAGAGGAATTGACAGGACCTCTGGAAATGCATGGTTAATTCCTAACTAGTTAAACTTTGAAGACCAGAAGGAATCCTCATAACAACAGAAGATTCTATTCTCTTTAGTTTATTAGGGTTTTTTACTGTTGTTTTGAGTGACAGAAAAAACAGATAGCATGGCTGAACATTTGGGGAGAGAAGGTGGAAAGGAAAGCAATAACAACATGGATGCTAAAGAGAAGCACAGCAGAGGACCAGACCGTAGAGGCCTAGAACTAAGTGTCCATCTTGAATAATCATGCTCATGTCAAGGCTATGGAAAATATTCAAGGAGGCATTATAAAATTAATACTGTATTTTTTAAAGGATAATGTCCACAGGCTAAGAGGCAGGCTAGGACTATCAAGATTTGAAGAGAACAGGGATTAGCACACCCTGAAAATCAGTCCTCTTCTAAAATAAAATAATAATAATCTTTTAAAAAATCCCCATTTGAAAGTCTTTGCAATTAATATAAAGAATCAATGATAATAAGGCTGTTAGTAACACTAAGAATAAACTTAATTCATTCTAGAAATCAGAAATAATTCAGAGGTGAGTTATTTCTCAAATGACTAAAAATTAGGATGATCATATGTAAATGTGTGTCATTAGGTTAAGCAGAAATGTCTTCAATACTTTTTTGGAAATGGTGAAACACTTAGTTGTGCTACTTTTTTGAGGAAATAGTCCATCTTGAAGATGCAAAAGAAAAGCATTTTGACATTTATTGTCTTAAGTTTTCATTAAAAAGAAAATACTCTAAAAATATTATCGAAGTTGTAAAAGAAAGCATTTAATACCCTCTGAAACAAAATAAAGTGTTTCATCTGAATTGCACAAAATGTTTTTCTTCACTCTAGTTATTTGTTGTTTCCATTTTGAAAAATAACCAAACAAGAAAAGGAGACAAAATACATTTCATTTTGTACAGAACCAAACGGTATTCTTCTTTTCATTTGGCCACCAGCAATAACTCAACAAATTCATACAGATCTACAGTGACTGAGATCTCTATTTATTGTTGTTGTTGGCAACAGTATTCAACATACAGTGAAATAATTATGAAAAGGAAAAGAAAAAAAAAAAAAGGATTCTTGATAGAGATAACCCAATTGTTTAAATAAAATATCCAGTGAGAATAAAAGGATGGTTGGTATGCAAAGCAGAACTGCTTATATTATAATTTTGTGTCTTAGATGGTACCCTAATATTCAGATATTTTTGTTTGAGTTCTTGGGGTTGTTTGTTTTTTTTTCCAATTTTATTTAGGTCAAAAGATTTCATGTCAAGATTTAGAACTAGGAATAACGCATCTGTCATTACACCAGAAAGGAATGTCTCCAGCCACGCTTTCTATGACCAGCTTATCTGTCCACTGTGTAAGCAATTGTTTCTCCAACCATTTATGCTGCCATGCAGTCATTGCATTTGTGAGAAGTGTATAATTAAAAGCAAGACCAAAGCTGAAGTAACTGAAGACTTTTATATCATCGTATGCCCAGTGTGTAGCAAAGCACATTGCCTCCCCTACACAAATAAAATTCAGCTGAGGAAGAATTACCTCAGGGCAAAACTAGCCAAGAAATACATGCACAGACATGACTTTCTGAGGTGGAGATTTGACCATAGTGAAAGACCAGTCTACTGTGAAACTTGCAGGGAGAGAAGAGTGGCAACCAAAAGATGTAGAACATGTGGAATTAATTATTGTAAAGAATGTCTGCATTTAAATCATAGTGAGAACGGTGCTCAAAACCACATTTTCACCAAAGCACATCAAGAAGATCATGAACAGTGGCGCTGCTTACTGCACAGCAACTCAAACCTCTCTGAATACTGTCTGGATGACCATGAACTGATCTGTGCGTTCTGCAAGAACACACTGCACAACGATCACGAGACTATTCCCTTGGCAGTTGCATGTTCAAGAGAGGCTGCTTCCCTCTTTGATACAATTGCAAAATTTAGAAAAGGTTTGTGTTTCTGCTGCTTCTCACACTTCCCCATGCCTCCTCGGGAAAGAAACTTGAACATATGGTTGACAAGCTATATTAATTCTCTGCACAGCACAAGAGTCAGAAAGGTGGTGTGTTCCCCCTGTAGAAACACCAAAGGAACAAGCCCATAATGTTCTGCTCCTTCACAGTTCACAATTTTTAGTGTCAGAAGAGTTAATTGCACCTTCACATAACAGCCATCAGAGGAATGTACCATCAGCCACAGACATAATGTGGGCTATGCAGGCGCATTTGCTGCCATTATTTTAACTTCATACTGGCATAGTGAATTTTCAAAGATAATATAGAGCTAAAATAAATTAAGCTTCAGGATTTCCCACGTAATGAAGTAAAAATTATCAACCCATTTTGGGGGAGATAAATTTGAGCAAGGAAATAATAATAAAGTAGCAATTAACTGCCAAATTTTATACACCCAAATGCGAACATTTTAACCCAAACAACTTCCCTTAGGCCTTACCAGCAACAAAGATGGGAGAAAAATATCAGAATCCTTATTCTTGTTCCAAGTTCTATCAAACCTGATTTTTTTTTTTAAGCTAAAATCTATCATTCTGCCTCTTGTAACCACTACATTTTAATACGAATTTGGAACTACTGACCTGCTCTTTATTTTTTTTTTACAGTACGCCAAGGAGTTGATAATGATCTAACAGAAATTATCCTGTTAAAAAACAATTTCAAGACCTATAAGGACACCAAAAGAAAGGAGATCAGAAATGGATTCTTAAAATTACGTATGGTTCTTCATGAACAAGAAAAGGAGATGACGGAATTGCTTGAAAACATTGAACTTAAAAAACAGAAAGAAATTTCAGAATACATAAACTATACATCCAGACAGCTATCATATATGGATGGCCTTATTCAATACTCTAAAGAGGCTCTTAAGGAGGAAAGCCAAGTTGTGTTTCTGCAGTCTGCACACTGCTTAGTGAAAGAAATAGAAAATGCAGTTCCTTCCATTTTCCAACCTAGTCCACGTCTAAGAGAAGATCCCTTAAGAAAACTTCAAGTCAACTTTGATGAACTTTTCTCCGTTTTACAGGGACTTGTCCCATCCCTTAGCCCAATAAAGCCGTCAGACAGTAAAGCAGAAAAGTATCCCTATTCTTTTAACCCAGAGATAATGGTTCCAAGGCATGTTTCAAGTACTCATGAATCCAAGCAAGCAACATTGTTCCAAAGCCCATCTTTAAATTCCTTGTTTGATTTAGGTGTACTGTCTAAAGACACTGTCGGAAGACCAACCTCTACACCTCCCCATCATCCTACACAGAGTAATGAAGTGTGTGTGTACCAGGATACAGCTTGTGAAACTCCAAGAAAAGAAAGAAAATATCAGATTGTTAACTTTTCAAGTCCAGAACCTGTAGACAATGAATCAGTCCCAGTCCCAGGACCTGTTGTTATATACCAGAGTGTTGTTTACCCGAGGTCTGCCAAAGTAAGACATTAATAAATTCTAAATATGTCCAAGAGACCATTATATTTTCAGGCTGTTATAGAGTCTGAACCCAATGAGTTTGAGTAAATAAGACTACGATATCAGTTCAAATACTTTATTTGTAGGAGACAATGCATTTCAAATGCGCCTTTTGAGATAAACTGAAGCATAAATTGAGTCTTATCACACTCCTACTGTAGTGAATAGGGTTGTTATATTATTATATATGTGGTATAAATATGTTACATGGAAAGGTCCAATGCAGAAAAGAAATAGGTGTACCATGTTTGTATTTAAATATCTGTATGTCAGATCAAATAATGCGATCCTGGTCTTGGCCTTTAATGTGATGACATCATATCCATGTAATTTTCCTCAATACACATTTCATAGATGCTAACAAGATCAGGATGCCAGTTGCATAAGATCCCAAGTGCATGTTGCAAAGTGCTGACTACTGTCAGCCTGCATTACTTTTAGTGTGTTAGAAGAGGGTACTATGAAATTCCCAGGAGGAAGCTTATCATTTTCGAAGTAAGACCACAAACTGCATATCTTCCACATATATTTCATGCTATGGTTGGGATTTCAGCTGCATTGGCATTTCAAAAGTAAAATCTGCCAAACTGGGGCCTTCCAAAAACGCAAAAATGAAAATGAGCAAAAATAAAGAGTACTTAATTGTGTACTAATTTTGTCTCTTCACAGATTTACTGGACTTGGCCCACAGAAGACACAGATTTCTTTGAGGTAGAGTTTTATGAAGTTGCTGGTATTGGTCCTGATAACATTGTCCAGACACAACTAGCTGGCCAGCTAAGCAAAATACAGCAGCAGAACCTTGAGATACATAATCTGGACCCAAATACAGAATATCTTTTTAAAGTCCGTGCTGTCAATGCAAGTGGTCGAGGAGAATGGAGTGAGATCTGTAAGGTATTGTAGATTCTTCCTATACTTCATAAAGGTGCCTTAACTTTCTTGCCTCCACAATTGTTTTTTACCCCATCTATCTATGAGGAAGACTGCTTAAATGGAATATTGCTATTCACTTATCTGGGTAAGTGATACTAATAGTTACACTGGATTTTTCCATATGTTGTTCTTTCTAGCTCAGTTTGCAACTGCTTGATGTACGTAGAAAGTTTCTCATTTTTTCTAGCAGGAATACTGTGTCATGATTACATCAGGCAAGTCATTGTAATTCGTATTACTTCAGGACTGAGACTACCTTTGCACTAGTCTCTCTGAACACAAAGAGTAAGATTATGAAGAGTCAGATCCAAAAGCTTTCATGTTAGAACAAGGCAGCAATCATTAAAAGAGAGGAAACAGAGAAAATTAAGAATATTTTTTAACACCTTTGGACATGAGTCTCCTTTACTGTGGCTTTAGAAGAGGAGGAAAAGTGTTGCAAAGATAAAAGTTAAAAGGAGTAGGAAGGCGTTCAAAAAGGTGTCAAAAGTTAAAACATTTAATGAATTTACTTTAACACCCTTTAGGTATCCCAAATCTCTTGCTGAAGTCACCTTTAGTTTTTCATGCCTTGCTGAAAAAATACGTACTTGATTCATGCTTTGTCCTTGATAAGTTTTCAGTAAAGGGTGTATTGAGGAGCTGCACTGCGGATGGCTTCCATGAAAAGGGTAGGTGTTATTCTCTGATTCCAATTCCGTATTTCACAGCCTTTTCCTATATCAATTGCACCGAATGCTCTCCCTTTCCAGGCCTCTTGTCCTTTGTCACATTTAGAGAGTAAAAGTCTTAACTTTGAAACAGCATTCAGACATCCCACTCACTGCAGGAATTTTAATGACAAATGACACCTTCCTGGACTGCTCCACTTCTTATAACTTAAAATACTGAGCACAGTAGTTTCTTTTTTTGTCTAACACGTTGGAATGCTATATTGATTTTTCTTCCAAAAATTGTTCTTTCTGCATGCAGCACAGTCATATTAATATTCCAGAGAAACAAACTCACTTAACATCTGCTGTAATTTACAGAAGTAAAGAGTTTCATAGCAAATGAAAATGAGACAGCAGATATGACAGACTTTTATAAATCTTCTTTTAAAAAATAACTACCTCTGTTCCTTTTGCGTAATATCAGACTATTTTACTTTACCAGTTACACTACAGAGAAAGCTTGGAAGGACTTTGTTTAAAAGAAAATATGGCATTGGATTTTAAGTAGGGGATTTAGTCAGAGCAGTATCATTCTTCACGTGTAACAGTTACCAAGTCTATGAGGGAATGTAACTGTGATGGCTGTGACAGGACACAGGAGCCCAGGCACCAAGCTACGAAGAGGAGGAAAGTGACAGAAAATTTTGTTAGACAGCAGGTACTATTTCATTCTTTGAACTAAAGCTGGTTCCATGCCACTGATACCCTGAAATATCAAGTCCCACAAAAAGGTTATTCAACCATAGGGTGTTATTTAGCATTACAAGCAGATTTCCCAACTCTGTATGCAGTCCTCATAAGCAAAACAGAAAACTGTAGTCTCTGTGCTTTTAGTAGTAAGGGAACTTCTCTCTTCTTAGCCCAATAGCATGATTGTTGGCTTACAGCTGAATCACAGCTTCCTCAATTTCACCCATTTGTCAGTGTGTGAAACACCATGGAAGTACCACTATATCCTTGTTACGTGATAATAGAAGCTGTTCAGATGGCATGATCTCTTTGCCCAAGAAGAGTTCAATACAGTTGACTCAATATAGGCTCTTAATGCCTCAGAAAGTGCCCAAAGGTATCTAACATATCTGCACAGGGCTGACAGATGACACAAGACTTGGAAGATGCACTTCTAGCGCAGCAACTAGGAAGAAGGCAGGTTACTCTCGAACATCTAAACTGGCAAAAGATGTTCATGATTTTGACAACTGGATCCTAGTTTGAAAGTCAATTGAAGGAATTACACCCCACTACCCTGAGTAAGGGAATGAACAATATAGGGAATATTTTTGAGTATGCGTTGAGGTTGTGGAAGATCCTGGATGAATGACAGAAACTGAAGGCTGCCTTGTCAACTGCTGTATTAAACAGCCCTAGCAAACCATGCAAAACTGTACCACGAGGAAAGTGACAAGGAATCTTCCAAGGATGAAATTCAGTGTTCCCCGGAGACTTTCAACAGAGTAGGCAAAAATTTCTTGCCCCAGAGATAAAGGATTTGGCTGTGTCTACCATGGGAGGAGGAATGAGAAGCACTAAGGATGCAGTTAGAAAGCCAGGAAGGGAAAATGCTGGAATTCTGCAATCCTTGCTCTAGTTGCTGCCAGTACTACCACTCTTGGAAGAGGTGCTCCCCCACCCCTTCTTCTCAATGACAGCAGCAGCCCGCAGCTGTTCACAGTGGCCTGCCACAAATGCCAATAGACTTTGTGTTCCTCAACTTGTCTCTTGAGACTTTCAACCACAGAAACAATGATAATTCTAATGCTGGTTTTGTTACTTTTTAACTTTTCATCTTACTCTTGCCAATTAAACCTTTGGAAGATTTTTCAAAATTACCTTGGAAGCCAAATGCAAAACAACTTTTAATAGGATGTGGGCTTCTAAATCCTACGGTCATATCTGAAACTCTTTCCACCAGAACCCAATGGCTATATATTTATATTAATCACTGTAATGTTTGCCACCAGACAATTGCTTGCCTTCAATTTAAGTTTTTTTTGAAGAGCTCAATTTCCATTTTGCCTTCAAAATAAGTACTTAGTATTTCCAAAGTTTAACATAGATAAGACAGTCTGACTGTTTTGAAAATACATCTGTAAGTGGTAAGTTCTTTTGAAAACAGACACTAGTTAAATCCTATCCCCAAACTAATAAATACATGTACCTCTTCTGTACTTTAATACATTCTTGTTTTCTACTTGTAGATAATCACTTCAGATGAATATGGGAAAATTGAAGACAGGTGGGAGAAGCAGAAGAGTATTCAGGGTGCTCTGCATACACTAAATAGGTAGACACGGAATGAAACCAGGGATTCTTTTTTTTTTTCTTGAAGAACTGGAAAATGTGTATGCTTTGTTATGCAATATCCCATTTTCCACTGAAGTTAGCAGCCAGAGATCTAACAGCGAGCTCTTCAGACTATTATTGTTTTCTGGCAAATAATAATAATTTAAAAACCCTGCCTTTTCATTAGCTTTTCTTTTTCCAGATGTAGCACCAAGACCTAAGGAAAATGCTATGCCATGCATAAAAATATAGTATAAACCCCATTATACTTGAGGGACCTTTGCAGCTTCAAAGGAAATAAATGACATATTTGCATTGTAAGTTAAACTTCCGATTACTGTTCCCTATGAGACCATTCAATACCAGTCCATAAACAGCTGCAGGAGCCTATATCACACTTTGCATATTTTTAAAGCGCAGAATAAGTTACTCTGTACATATACGCTTTTGGTCTCAGCCTCACTCAGCTGAAGTACCATGTGCATACACACATAGAAGGACACTGGCAACAGGCAGAACAAGAAGGACAAGAATGAGGACAGACAAAATTTTATCTCCTTATGCACTTACTTAACAATGGTTAGGTTTACTTGACTGTTGTGAAGGTCACCTGTGAGTTGCAGAGTATCAATTTGTTGAAAGTAGCTGCAAGTAAAATCAGAAGTCACAACATCTCTGATCCGCTGAACAGGAGTTACTAGATCCACAGCAAGTTACTGTGTTGAAATAATCAAGAGTAACAACTAATGTCCTTCTCTATGCAGGGATGATCTTGGATGGTCCTTTCTTTCACTTCAGCCATACCAACCAGGTATGCGTATCTAGTTAGCTATCTGTATTTTTACAGACACACACATATATGTACTTATACACATCTCTCTCCATATATGCTTGCACATACACACACACACACACTTACACGTACATGCATTTAAACACATTTACAACTCCCTTTGACCCAGTCCTGTCAAGTAGGGCATTTACATGGGAATGGAAATAGGATCAGGGACACTACTAGCTCTTTTAAACCCCTTCTGTGCATTTATATGTTTGTGTCTTACCTTCAGCACAGAATAAATCCGTTTATGGAAAATCATGTATTATGAATGCTGACCATGAAATCTTGGACCTCCTGCTACCTTCCTTAAGGCAAACAATAAAACTTAGTTGTATATCATTTTTCCATTGCACCTTTCATTTCTGAAGATCTGGTTTAGCTTTGCATCGTTGCTGCAAGGTAGTAATGTTCTACCCACTTCATGGATGGCTAATTTGATAAAAGAAGAGTCTGAACAAAAAGACAACAAAGCCAAAATCTGAATTCTGAGAGCACCTAGTTCTCTATCTTGTGCTAGCCAGTGAGCTATTAGCATTGCTTCAGTTAATATGTATGTTCTTGCCAGGATCTCTGTGCAGTCTTTCCTTGACAGCATACTTTTCTTTCGATGAAGTCTCTAGGTAGGAGTA